TTTCCAGGTATATTTATGTGTACAATCTCAAGCAGAAATCAGGCATATCAGAGGTTCAAGGAATTCTGTGCTTGGTTGGAAAGTGTGCATGGTAAGAAGATAAAGACTCTATTCACTGATTGCGGGGGGTAGTTCACTTCTCAGCAGTTTGAAGCTTTTCTGACTGAGAAAGGAATTCAGCACGATTTGTCTAGTCCTCGTTCGCCATGGCAGAACGGACTTTGTGAGAGAGCAAATCAGACATTGCTTCAAGGGTTGAAAACCTTGCTGCATGATGCCAATATTCCAAAGAGTTATTGGGCAGAATCTTTGGCCTGTTTTGTTTACAGTTACAATCACAGGTTATCTTCAGCGATTGGTTGTACCCCCTATGAGAAGATGTTTGGCAAGAAGCCTTACATCAAACACATGAGAATTTTTGGTTCTGACATGTGGGTTCACACACCACAAAGCTCCAAGTTAGGCAAACGTGAATTGCATGGTATCTTTCTAGGTTATCAGAAAGGTTCTTACAGAGTAATGATGACTGACTCTAAGGCAATTAGGCTCACAAATGGCTACTGAATTCTGTACCAACTTCTGAATTGCCTTCAAAGACAGCCGCATGTATAACACATTGAGTAATCTAACCCAGAGGTCATCAGAGTATGGCTGGCCACCAGCCAAAGCAGATGGAAGGCACTTCATGCTACCAAGGCCACTTGAGCCTCAAGTGACAGCAAAGCAAAGTTTCCAGAAGTATCCCCAAGCTATGTAACTACTCCTTCAGAGGGAGTGTAATCCCATCAAGAGCAGGCCATTTCCCATCCATCCAGTCTAGGGAACCATTCACTTCAGTTTAATCTGAACTGAGCTTCAGTTTATTGGCTCCCATCCAGTCTATTACTGAGTCAAGACATCAGTCATGCACATCCACTGCTACACTTGTAGATGTTAAGAAATCCAGATGTGCCATCAACATATTGCTGTCAACGTACTGCAAGACTCTGGATGGCTCCATCCAGCAGTTTCCTGTAGATTAACATCCTGTAGATTAACATGTTTAACAGCATGGGGGCCATGCTTGATCCCTAAGGAGCTTTGCATTGAAGACTTTGTGACTCTGAAAAGCACTCCCCAAGCATCATCCTGTGGAAATGACTATCCAAGTAGGACCAGAACCACCGCAAAGCAGTGCTGCCCACCCTCACACTGGGAAAACTGCTCCAGAAGGATACCATGGTGAATGGTATTGAAAGCCGCTGAGAGATCAATAGGATTAACAGGGAATTAACACATTCTCCCATCCCTCTCCTGACTGAGGTCATCATACAGCACAACAAAAGCAGTTTCCATGGCCAAACAGACTTAAACCTTGATTAAAATGGATGCAGAAAATTGGTTTCATCCAAGAGAGCCTGGCTCTGGCTCACAACCAGTTGCTCAAAATATACAAGCAAGCGTTTATTTCTTTGTTTTAAAAGACAAAAAGCAGTGATTAAAAACACTGAAAGTACAAATGCTAACATTTTTTTATCAAAATAGGTGTAAAATGGTTGAGAAGTCCTAATGTTATGAATAATTTCTTCTGAATAAACCCTAAAGGGAGATTACTGAACGTTGCTATGGACAAAAGAGGGATGCTTTAATCCTTAAGTTCCAAAGTTCTGCTGATAGCAGACTGATCTTATTATATAGGGACCAATTTCAGTGTTGCACATAGAGGTGACTGGATCTCATCTCTCTCCCTCTCCCTCTCCCTCTCTCTCTCTCTCTCTCTCTCTCACACACACACACACACACACACAGACACGGCGTTGCAAATATTGGCCACAGATACTGCAGCTGAGGGAGGAAGGAGCTTCAATGCTCTATTCCACAGCATCCCAGCTCTTCCCTTTTCAGTACAGTTGAAGGTGAAGCAGCCTGCAGAGGAAAAAGGGGAAGGTGGAAGCAGTATTCTACCCTTGTTAGACCTTCCTCTTTCCAGACTAGAAATTGGAATGTGGGGCTGAGCTGCTCTTTTACTATCCAACATTTCATAGGTGAAGTAGGCACACTTATTTGAAACAATAGGAAACTAAAGCCCAGGGAATGAGGCTGCTAGTCACCGAGACAGCTAATCTTACACAGTGGCATCTGGCTTTTTGCTTATAGTCTGAGGTCTGAGGTCTGCACTTGCTCAGTGTCCATGCTAGCACTGTTTTAAGCCTGGTCCTCAGCTATGCATCTCTCCATTGTAAATGGAGAAAACCACCTTTCTTTGTTTCTACAGAGGTTCCTTACAAATAAAAGGCAAGTGTAGAAAACCAGGACGTACCTCTGTAAAAAAACACACACCCTCATTTCAGAGATAACATATTTTTCTGCCAGAAAAAGTATTAGAAAAAGTTAGTCTGTTAAAGCCTATAAAACAATTTGTTCTACCAAGACACTCTGCTGATTTACTACAAATTCATATTACAGTGGTGCCTCACAAGACGAAAAGAATCCGTTCCGCGATTCTCTTCGTCTAGCGGTTTTTTCGTCTTGCGAAGCAACCCCATTAGCGGCTAAGAGGATTAGCGCTATTAGCGATTTAGCGGCTTAGCGGCTATTAAAGGATTAGCGGCTAAGCTGCTAAAAGGCTATTAGTGGCTTAGCGGCTTTGAAAAAGGGGGGGAGCGGGGGAAAATGGCGAGACTCACAAGACTTTTTCGTCTTGCGAAGCAAGCCCATAGGGAAATTCGTCTTGCGAAGCGCCTCCGAAACGGAAAACCCTTTCGTCTAGCGGGTTTTCCGTCTTGCGAGGCATTCGTCTTGCGGGGCACCACTGTATCCCAAAGATGTATTTAAATCAGTTTGTATGTGTGTGCTGTATAATGTTGTAACTCTTTGTGACATATTTCAATTACATATTACTTTTCAAAACTGCTTTGAGGTTTCTCCCCCTACAATCAAGTGTTGAATGGTTTCTTTAAATGTAAAGGTTCATCATTGTTCCACTTGATATGTATGTCTTTAAGGGGCCAGAGCAAGGGCCAGAGCAAGATAACGAGACCCAGCTTTACAGCTGTGAAACATAGCAGGTGCTGCTGAGTTGTATTTGATTAAGGTGTGTCAGCATTTGGGTGTAGTATATAAGGAGCAGCACCTAGCTCTCCCATTACCCTGGGGGATGGGTTGGTGGTTGGGTCTGGTTTGGTTGTTGACGTATTTATTGTAAATGGAGTTTTTGTTTTTGTAATCAAAACCTTGTTTAAGTTATTTTTGAGTCCTTTTCTTTTTAATGCATGATCTCCCCAGCAAGCTCTCTGCAGCGCTACCATACTGCAAATAGCCAACATCAAGTGGTATATAAATTTTATTAAACAAACAAACAAACAAACATTTGTAGGTGCCGTCATCTTTTATAAAATCAAAATTACATTTAAAAAGAACTAGGTTAAGTCAGTAGGGCAGAGACTCTTAATCTCAGGGTTGTGGATTCGAGCCCATGTTGGGCAAAAGATTCTTGGATTGCAGGGGGCTGGAGGAGAAGACATTCATGATCCCTTCAAACTCTACAATTCTATGATCTTATGATAAGAGAGTATTTTAATTTCTTTATAAAAATGTATTCTGCTTAATATATATTTAGAGTGTGACCCGTAACACTCAGTAAATCAAAACAAAACTATTTGTCACAAATAAAATTGATTTAGTCATGAAAATAAAATAAAAAATATTCTGGAAATCCATTATCATGTTTTAAATGCAATGGAATTTTTAAAAGCCATGTCAGATTTCTGGTGTTGAAAGTGCCTTTAAAGCTTCAAAAATAAGTCATGCCAGACCAATCTGATTTCTTTTCTTTCTTTTTTTTTGATGGAATTACAAACTTGGTGAATGAGGGAAATGCTGTGGATATAGTCTATCTTGATTCAGTAAGGCGGTACCTGTTTATCTACTTGCACTGGTATGCAAACAATACTGCCAATGGTAGTTCATGAGGAAGCTCAGGCTCGATGACCTGGGTCTAAACTAAGAGACAGCCAAGATGGTCTCTGGCCTCTTCAGCAGCCTCAGCTTTTGTAGCTGGACTCATAACTACAACATAACTAAAGTAGTCATAAGCAATAAAGAAAACATAAAAAATATACAACCAAACTGAACAATTTCCATATAAATCACAAGATCTATAATAAAGATACAAAAAACCAGCAACAGCAGCAACCACCACCCCTCCCAACAAAATCCGGCAAACAACACCCCAGCTCAAGGGTGTGTTCAGCAGTCTCAGCTTTTGTAGCTGAAGTCAGTCAGGGCCCCTCCCTCCTAGGTCAGGTGGGAAAAGGCTGCAAGGCAGAGAGCAGGTCTTCCAGGACTCGCAGCCAAGAGTCACCGCCAAGATGCCCTTGGGATGAGGGGCAGCTGCCCTCTATGCCCTGCATGGTGTTGGTAGGGCAAGGAGTGAGCCACCTCAGAAGGAGTAGACACATTGGAGAATTTTGAATGTGAGCCTTTTCATCAAAAGGAGCATGTATGCAACAGCTACAGTGTGACTCTGTGGACCAGATGGACAAGTAAAGACTTCCTATAAAACACCTTCATATAAAATTTATAGCATTTGATACAAACCACTCCAACCTGCGGGTGGCGCTGTGGGTAAAACCTCAGTGCCTAGGACTTGCCGATCGCATGGTCGGCAGTTCGAATCCCCGCGGCGGGGTGAGCTCCCGTCTTTCGGTCCCAGCTCCTGCCCACCTAGCAGTTCAAAAGCACTCTTAAGTGCAAGTAGATAAATAGGTACCGCTTTCTAGCGGGAAGGTAAACGGCGTTTCCGTGTGCTGCGCTGGTGCTGGCTCGCCAGAGCAGCTTCGTCACGCTGGCCACGTGACCCGGAAGTGTCTCCGGGCAGCACTGGCCCCCGGCCTCTTAAGTGAGATGGGCGCACAACCCTAGAGTCGGACACGACTGGCCCGTACGGGCAGGGGTACCTTTACCTTTACTCCAACCTGCATCTTCACCTCACAGAGTGTTTGTTGTGGGGGAGGAAGGGAAAGGAGAATGTTAGCTGCTTTGAGACTCCTTCAGGTAGTGATAAAGCGGGATATTAAATCCAAACTCTTCTTCTTCTTAATATCATCTTGTAAATTTATGAGATCTATGGATTTAGGGCGTTATACAAATTTAATAAAATAATAATAATTAAAAACTCCCCCTTCGCCTTACCTGCTATTGCTGCATATTGCTGGCCAAATCTCTGTAGGGCAGGCAACTTGCTGTTCACATATCCTGCTTCCAGCCCTTCAGTGGCACAAGAAATACTGTATCTATACCAAATTTGTTCATGACAAGGCCATAGGAACTCCTACTAGCGCATAGCTGTCAACGTTTCCCTTTTTCTAAGGGAAATTCCCTTATTCCAAATAGGATTCCTCACAAGAAAAGGGAAAAGTTGACAGCTATGCGACTAGGTATTCTTCCATTGCCCTGCACTCAGTTCCCATGATTACCTGACACTATGGTCCTCAGCCTATCAGCACTCCTTTCTGTTCTTCCTGTTAAGTCCCCTGTCAGGCACTCTGACTCGCTTCCCATTCGCCCAGTCTCTGCATTCTATTCTGTCCCTAATCACCAAGGCCCGCCCACATTCCAAAGGTAAATCTACAGACGGTTGCTATCATCAGAATCCTTCTCTCTCTATAGGAGTGTCCTTCTCATTTTGCTTTGGGCCCACAACAGGCCATCCCATGGGGTGCCTTAGTGCATTCTTTCACCTGTCAGGGAAGATGACAAGCAGTCTTCCCTGGCTGCTGGTGCTGATCTCATGGAATGTGTGGAGTGAGCCTGCAGGTCAGAACCCTCCACAGGGCTATAGGTATGCCTCCTATGAGATGATTGTCCCAAGGAAATTAACCCCCCGATATGGACAAAACCCCCACACTATCACTTACTTGCTGCAAATTGAGGGGAAGGGCCACATCGTGAAGCTCAGGAAAAAGAAGCCTAAACATTTCCCTGTCTTCACTTACAGTAGGGAAGCGGACCTTCAGATGGACTATCCTTTCATCAGAGATGACTTCTTCTACCGCGGCTTGGTAAAAGGCCATCCTGCCTCTCGAGTCACCCTCAGCACTTGCTCAGGGGGACTCAGGGGTCTGTTGCACTTAGAAAACCGCACCTATGAAATTGAACCTGTTCAGGCATCTGCTACTTCTCAACATGTGTTGTATAGATTGGAGGAAATGGTGGGTGCTGTACGAATGAGGTGTGGGCTAACAGAGGAAGAGCAAAGACGCCAAGAGGCCATGACCCAAAGCACAAATAATGTAACAGTTCAAATTGATGCGAGAGGAGCCTGGTGGACACATACCAGATACTTGGAGCTTGCCATTGTGATAGAACATGAACGATATGTCAGGTTTGACAGAAATAAAAGTCATATTGCTTTGCAAGTTCTAGATATTATTCCAGCGTGGTAGTCTGTACTCCAGCAATGCCTATTGCCAAGGGGCGTATTAATTATGGTGCTGTGTTCCTCCAAAGAAGGTAGTTTATAAACATTTTCACACTGGATTCGGCCGCACAAGATACGCTGAGTGTTGAATAGTGGGTAGACATGGCAGACGACACAGCGATTTCTCCAAAGCAGCTCTTTATTTTGTAAGCTGGAACAGAACTGAACAGCAAACAGCTCAGCCGGCCTGCTTTTATAGGCAGCCGGCTGTCAACATTGTAGCAACAACAACCCAGGGTTTCCTGCCTAAAATAACTGATGTGATCCTGAGTGAAAACTATCTACAGTATCCCCCTGCTGCCCAGGGTGAGAACTTCAGTACATAACACTGAGTATCACATTTCTTATAAGTGTCATGTCTAAGCCCACAGTTGCCAAAGCGATCCCCTCAAGCATTTATTTCAGACTGCAGGTCAGAACCCTCCACAGGGATTATGGGATTTACAAAATTCTGGGAGATTTCATGTATGGTTTTTGCAGAACACAAAAGTGCAAGCCAGCAGAGCTATGTGGTATATGTTCTATAGCAGTATTGTATGCCCTTTGAACAATCAAACATCTGGGGCGAAAACATTATTTATGGGCCTGTGTAATGTAAGAAAATTGCTGTAGTGAAACTGGTTCAATGAAATACAAATTTTGCCTTTCTGTCTCAGTCTGTCTTGCATTCTAATTTAACCGAAAGCATTCGTCTTTGACTTCCCTCTCACAAACCCTTCATCAGGACTGCATTGTTTAACACTTGGATATTTCCTGGAAGAATCAGTTTACAGTTCTTAACAGTGATACTTGCTCAGAACAGTGAGAGTTTATATATCTATATCACCCATCTTTCGTAATTTATCTTTATCATATTGTACAATATACTGTTTTGAATGCCCTTTACTGACGTACAACCATGAAAACTATTGCTTAGAAATTATTTCAAATTACTTAATAAAAATATTATATGTAAAAGTATTTTTATTTATTACATTTGTATCTCACCTTTCATCCATGGACCTCAAATAAGCATACATAGATCTCATTTCCCCCCTCACAATAGCCTGTGAGGTAGGTAATAGCATCTGGTCTCAGATAGATCTTGGAGACTGTCCCTGCTAATTTCATGGCCAGCATGGGAATTTTAACGTAGGTTTCCCTGGTGCCAATTTGTTTTGGTGTTGTGTTTGGTTTTATGAATGCAAATCATTCCTGGAACAGTATAGTTGTCTACAATTACAGCTATTTTTTGCCTTTTATTCAAAGTAATAATAGCCTCTAGACATAAATTACCGTAGATTATTTGGTAGTCATGCCTTCTGCAGCCAGTGCAATATTTTTTATTGGGACACCTCAAGGAATTTAATGAGAGCAAAGCAGATGATATCTATGAAAGTGACAGTAACACATACAGGGTTAGAGTTGGTACAGTCCTCATTGGGTTTTGCCACTCCAGTGTCATTTATGCTGTCAGATGTTCCTGGCTACTTAGCAGACCTATTTTGACATTTTGCCGGTTGGGACTCCCTCTAGCTCAGGGGTGGGGAACTTCTGGCTCACAGGTCAATCTTGGCCCTATCAGGGGTTCCAATTTAGCCCATGAGGACATTTTCCACAAACCACACCCACCGGTGGCATCAGCTCATGGGCAGGGTTCAATCCTGCTGGGTGCTGCTTCACTAGTGGGGAGTACATTAGCAAAGTAAATCCCTGCAGAGAGCGGAATTGAATCCTCTACTCACCAGTTGGTGAGTGGAGCACTTAATCTTGCTGGGTGCTGCTTTGCCACTTCATTTTATGCAAATAACCTCTCCCTTCACCCTATAAGTCAACTTTAGCATGTGCATGGTACTGCACACTTATCAGTTACCTGACATTATTATGTCAAATAATCCAGAATGCGGCAGCTAGACTGGTGACTGGGGGTGGCCACTGAGACCACATAACACCGGTATTGAAAGACCTACATTGGCTCCCAGTACGTTTCCGAGCACAATTCAAAGTGTTGGTGTTGACCTTTAAAGTCCTAAACAGCCTCGGCCTAGTATACCTGAGGTCCAGCGCCGAGGGCCTTCTGGCGGTTCCCTCACTGCGAGAAGCAAAGCTACAGGGAACCAGGCAGAGGGCCTTCTCAGTAGTGGCGCCCGCCCTGTGGAACGCCCTCCCATCAGATATCAAAGAGATAAACAACTACCTGACATTTAGAAGACATCTGAAAGCAACCATGTTCAGGAAAGTTTTTAATGTGTGACATTTTAATGTATTTTTAATCTTTGTTGGAAGCCGCCCAGAGTGGCTGGGGAAACCCAGCCAGATGGGTGGGGTACAAAATTATTATTATTATTATTATTATTATTATTATTATTATTATTATTATTTTATTGACAGGTGTGTGGCTACTGCGTACCTGTCGAAGGTGGCCCATGGGGTGGGGGCATTAAACATCTTGGCTGTTGAGTCAAAAAGGTTTCCTGTATCTGCTTCTAGCCAATTGAACAGGCTTACTCACTAGGCTTATCTAAATTTATATGCCTGGCTAGCTTCCCCCAGCTGCTAATGTAGTTAGTGAAATCAGGGGGTATGGCTCAAATTCCAGTGAGGGGGAATTTGAAAGGGAAAGGTCAATTTAGCCCCTGGGAATGGGATTGTTTTTGTATCCAAGGGAAAGGACGGTGGGTGTTAAGAAGGGATAAGGCAATGGGCAGTGAATTAACTGTAGAATTAATGCCCTATGGATGTTTCCTTTTTAAACCAAATGTTTTTAACCAGTCACAAAATGGCTGCCACATCTTAAAGTAGAAAAAGAGACAGGGCCACAAATGGTCAGCCACCTCATCAATGGGGAGAGGGCACCAACAGAATCCACTGCTGTGTTCGCTTGCAGCGAGAATCCATCACTTCTCTGTTTAGAACAGAATGGATGGTGAGTGTCCAGTTCTGGCATTCAGTGAAGGGGTGGGCATGTTTAGGGGGCGAAGGTATTCAGTGTGGTAAAGGCCAAACCAGTTCAAACAAGAACTAAGCAGGAAGAGCAAACATTCTCTAATGCATTGCAGTTTTGAGAGGTTACTTCTTGAGACCTGTCACAGGCATCACAGGAGGCACCATGTTGGGAACCCCCGCCATAGCCGATATCTTATATAAGTTCACAAACGAACAAAAATGAAATAGAATATTCTATCCTCCTGCTCTTGATCAGTATAAATGGTGTTCAGGGAATCATTTTCTTTCTCTGTTTGCTGTCTTTTAACTCATTTTTATATGTCATCACCCTGCTGAAGGCCCCGGGATTCTGGCCCATACGCCTGGCTGAGGAACTATGAACTTTCTTTTAAAAATGTCAGGAAACCTGGAAATTAAGATATGCTATGGAACTTACATGTTCATTTTCACAACTGGATAGTCTGGAAGTAGCAAAGAGGATGGCCAATGGCATGCACTGATTGCTTGCTTTGTCAGTGCAACTACAATGACAATGTTCTCAAATTTTGAAGAAAATGAAGCAACTTTAAGCAATGTAATATTACAGTAATTTATTTTAACGTCACATTAAATACTTATTTTAACGTCACATTAAATTATCTTCTGTATGACAATATGCCTTACATGAAGAACTGTGTACCATTGAACAGAAATCATCTGGTTTCTAGTCTTTTATCTCTATTTGCTTCCTGTCTCGTTGCGTTGCTAATGAGCAAATTCATGTTGGGATTGGAACTTAACAGGTTAAGTTTTTCCCATGGTGCCACACCATTCTGACGTCAGTTTTCGAAGGTGGGAGGAGTCGGGTTCAGTTCCCTCTGTGTATCTGAGAGGGAGACATGTTTGCAGCAATGGCTGCCAGCAGTGACGGACTTTGATGCTGAAATGTTGTAATAAAGAGCTGTAAATAGACGAACCTGTCTATGTGTGCTTACAAGGAGTAAGACTGCTTTACACGCTGTGTTTCTACTCTGCTAAAAGCCGTGACTGAGAAGAGACAGCAGGAGTTATTGCGCAGCTTGGGAGGAAGCGTGCCGGACCGCTGTAAGTGATTGATTGGGACCGTAAAGCTGTCTGAAGTCGCGGCTCTATCGATTAAGGGCCAGATCGATTTATACGAACAGGTTATGGAGGTCAGCCAACGCTCGTAAAACAGTCGTAAATCAGCTTCAGGAAGGCTTTGAAGCTGGGCTCTGGGGAAACGGAGCTGGCCGGATGTCGGAGGCTGCTTTCAGTGAGTCTCGCCTGATGTTTGCCTGCGTCTAAGAGGCAAAGAAGCTGCTGAGAGAGCTGCTGGAACACAGAGCTAAAAGCAAGAAGCAGCTGGGAGCTGAAAAGCAGCTGAAAAATCGTTTCTCCACGGAAGGGAGTGCCAGAGGAGCTGAAACTGGTCTGTGAGTACAGCTTGGGGCCCCTTGGGAGAACGGGAAAGGATGGCAGACTGCCAGGATATACCAGTGGAAAAGCTCACTCTAAAGAGTTGGGCAACGTGGTCCAGGAGAATAAGGGGATGGTTCTTGGTTGAAGGGCTCTGGGAAGCAAACCAGTGGGAGCCAAAAGAAACACCCCTTAGCCGGCCAGCAGCTGGAGCAGGTGAAGCAAGCTGTGGGGCTGTGTTGGCTGAAGATAGCCAGAGGCTGCAACAAGAGCTGAATATGCTCAAAGCATGCGTTGATGCGTCACTGGGGCCTCAGTTGGAGGGCGTAACGACAGCGTGGGCTGCCTGGAATTTGCTGAAAGGCTTGTGTGAGGCGTCAGCGAAAGGCCAGAGCCCTGGAGGAAGCCCTGGAGAGGCAGAAGGATGCCCAGAAAGCCCAATGGGGGCTGGGACAGTGTTGGGAAGCTGTTGTAATGCTTCTACACGTCTGTGTGATGGACTGAGTCCTGGAAAGGCTGGATTGGCAGGCCCTGTTCCCGATGTATTGGCCTCTAGGAGCGCTAGTGAGCAGGTCGGGGGGGCGAAGAGTTCCAAAGGCAAGTTTAAAGGACTTTCCCTTTGTGCTGAAGCGGAGAGCAGCTTCAGGGGGGGCGAGGCTGGTGGGAGGCGCCGTTCCAGAAGGAGGAGGGCCAAGCCAGCTGGGAGCCCCGGGCAGTGTTTTTCCACTGGAGTTCGTCACACGGCGCAACATCTGAGTGGCAAGTGCCCCCACCGGTGCAGAGAGCCGAGGCAGGATGTTGTGAAGGACATTTCCCATGGGAATCAGGCGGGTTTCCATGGCAACAGGCCTGGGAAGACAGGCAGGCGTGGAACTGAGCCAGGTGGCCGTGGTAAACAGCAGGGAGAAGAGTCTTATCAAGTCTCGGCGAGTATGGCAGTGTTTGAAGACGGCCGAGTGGAAAATTCCGAGATGGCCTTTGTAATAGACTCTGCAGCTAACCGCAACATGGTTCCAGAGACCCCTGCAGTTGAGAGGTGGAATTGCACGGCAGTTCCGAAGGGACAGACTATTAAGTTTGCAAATGGACAGAAAACTAGAGTTTCCACGTGTACTAATGCCTATCTTTCTGTTTTACAGGAGACGGTGGATTTATGTATTGTTCCAGAGATTCAACATTGTTTGTTATCTGTGCCTTATTTGTTAAGTAAGGGGTTCAAAGTTTGTTTTGAAAACGATGTCTGCACGATCTCCAAAGGGGGGAGGTTACTGGCCAAAGTGCGGAAGGGACAGAATGATCTTTTCATTCTTAAAACGTCTCTTGGAGGTGAGGGGAAGGTTGAGAAAGCACAAGCGTTGCGTGCTACAGTTCCCAACCAGTGTGCTACAATTCCCGCTCATAATGTTACATGTGCATGCGTATGGCATCAGAGAACGATTCACAATCCTTTAGAGGATTTGCAGGTGTTACCTGAGGTTGTTACAGGTTGTAAGATTAAAAATTGTCAAAGTGCCATTAATTGTGAAACCTGCAGGCTAGCAAAGGTAAAAGGATGCAGTTATCCAAAGGTGGAGAGGGTAACCATGAGACCTTTTGAGCTGGTGCACATAGATTTGTGGGGTCCTGTGAGGGAACCGAGTCTGGGAGGTGCAAGGTTTCTGCTCTCGATACAGGATAATTTTACGCAGAATACCTGGACCCATGGTCTCAAATCCAAGGATGATGCAGCACAGCTGATCAAAAGGTGGATTGAGGAGGTGGAACAAAGGTTTTCCACCAGAGTGCAAGCGGTGACCAGTGATAGCGGAGCCCAGTCAACAGGTTCTGCTTTGCAGAAGTTCTTTCGCAAGAAAGGGATACGTCACTCAGTGACTTCACCCAATCAGTGGGGGGTGGCAGGGCTGAGACGCCAGGCTCTAGTTCAGGCTGCACAGGTGTTGCTGAAAGATTCTGAGTTACCTCCAAGGTTTTGGCTGGAGGCAATCAAGTATGTGAGCTTCACCTGGAATCGTACCTACAATACGCTAGTAGGTGACACACCCTTTAGATTGTTGCATGGCAGGAAACCCCAGATTCATTTTTTGCGTATGTTTGGTGCAAGTGCATCTGTGCCGGTACCTACTGCTTTGCAGGGGCCAGATGGATCCAAGTTCCGGAAAATGATCTTCTGTGGGTATGAGCCAGCAGCGAGTGCATGGAGGTTCGCATTTCCATCAGGTGATCAGAGTAAGTTACTGATCAGTAAACACGCTGAGTTCTTTGAGCAGAGTGAGAAGCCAAAGATTGTTTTCCAGCGTGATCTCTCAGATTGTCTCTCTGACCCAGAGGACAGTTGTGATGAGGAGGAAGGAGAGGCTGAGCCTGCTGATGAGGACCAGGTCCAGGATCAGGGTTCAGAATCCGATGATGATGATCAGATCATTGACCAAAGTCAGGAGCAAAGTCAGGAACAGGAGGAGGTATCTGTAGTTTCTCCACAAGACGTTAAGAGAGCACCCAAAAGCGAGCCTAGTTCTCCTGTGAGTGTGATGGAAAGGATTCGAAGACGCTTTAAGTCAGAAGGGGAATCCCGTGATGCAGAGGTCACACCTGCTGGTGACGGTGAGCCAGAGGAAACATCTGTGTTTGTGCCTAGGAGGTCCAGTCGCACAACAAAGGGTATTCCGCCTGAAAGGTACCAAGCCATAGGTGCGTGGGTAAATTTCGCACAGTGCGTTTCTGAAGATTGTGAGGTGGTTCCACAAATGCCAAACAGGTCTGCCAAGGGAGGGCGTGAGGCATTGGGGGTGGGATTGATCTCACAAGGTGTTACTGAAGGGGTTCAACAGGTGCCTGGGAAAAATGCCGGAAAGGGGCACAAGGCAAAGGGAAAGGTGTTGAACTCAGAAGAGTCTTGTCAGAATGGGCGGCAAAGGGGGGTGTTGGGATTGGAACTTAACAGGTTAAGTTTTTCCCATGGTGCCACACCATTCTGACGTCAGTTTTCGAAGGTGGGAGGAGTCGGGTTCAGTTCCCTCTGTGTATCTGAGAGGGAGACATGTTTGCAGCAATGGCTGCCAGCAGTGACGGACTTTGATGCTGAAATGTTGTAATAAAGAGCTGTAAATAGACGAACCTGTCTATGTGTGCTTACAAGGAGTAAGACTGCTTTACACGCTGTGTTTCTACTCTGCTAAAAGCCGTGACTGAGAAGAGACAGCAGGAGTTATTGCGCAGCTTGGGAGGAAGCGTGCCGGACCGCTGTAAGTGATTGATTGGGACCGTAAAGCTGTCTGAAGTCGCGGCTCTATCGATCAAGGGCCAGATCGATTTATACGAACAATTCAAACCATCATATCAAAGCCACCTAAAAAGAGGATACAGAGAACTGTGGAAGCAAAAATATTAATGTTATATGGACAAAATATAAAACAATCTTACCAATAAGAAGCATTTATTTATTTGTTTATTTAAAAATGCAAAAAAACAGTGCTTAAGAACTAAAAGCAAAATGCCTGCATTTTTTATCTGATATAGGTGTAAAATGGCTCAGGAGTCCATTAAATGAGATTTCTTAATTTTCTGAATAATCTCTTCTGAATAAATCCTCAAGAAAGATAACTGTACTGACAGCTGATGTGGACAAAATAATAATGCATTAAGCCATTTCAACTACATTTAGTCATGGAAATAGGAGAAAAATAAATAACTGTCCAATTGGAAATACATTACAATTTTCAAAATAAAATTGGTTTTTAAAAAGGAATGTCAAATTCCCTTGTACAGAAAAAGTGATATAGATACCCCAGTTGTATAAAGTTATTGTGAAGCCCCAAAATTCTGCTGATAGTTTGTCTTACATTGAGGGTGGTCCATATAGAGTTCGTAACACAGATAGGTGACTGGGATATCTATCTATCTATCTATCTATCTATCTATCTATCTATCTGTCTATCATCTATCTATCTATCTATCTATCATCTAGCTATCTAGCTATCTAGCTATCTAGCTATCTAGCTATCTAGCTATCTATCATCTATCTCATTAGAAATAGACCTAAAAGTCTTACAAATATTCCATTCTTTTTCATTGTTGACCAAGACAATTAAATGTATGTACCTGGAAATGAGTTGCCTTTCTGCCGTTGTTCCCCCTATGCGAGCATGGGAGAGAACAAGCAAGCAGGAAGGAAGATGCATGGGGGCCAGACAGGCAAGTCATTCTATCAGTTATATTTTATTTACACAATTGGAATTAATTTCAGGAGCCAAAGGTGCTTTTATCTGTGCAGCTTGAGCAGGAGCAGTGAACATTGTTATGGTTCATTATTGTAGTTTGTCTTCACTTACCTCAGAGTTGTGAAGAATATCTCAACATTATGAATGGTCTGTTTCACCAATAAGAAAAAAAGATTGGAATAGGCCAATATATTTGTGAATTGTACTTGGATAAAGGTGACTTTTCTTCTTTAAGTTCTCAAATTTCTTAACCTAGCTCAAGGTAGTCATCCGAACGAGCCAGAAATTTAACTGATAATCAATCACAGTCAGTCCATCATTTGAAAAATAAGAATTTAGAACCATCTGATGCTAAAATGGGAACTAGACATTACATTTTGGCGACTATAACCTTGGTTTAAGGAGCCATTTGGTGCCTATCTTATATACATGAGTTTCTAACACTGGCCACTACAGGTTGTTCCACTAAGCCACCTAGCAGCTGCATTTTGTACTAGCTGCAGCTACCAAACCAAGTGCAAGGGTCGTCTAATTGTAAAGTTATCTTGTCTGTGGTAAGGGGAACAGCAGATTCTAGCAGCAGAACAGCCTTTATACACAGCACATCATGATTTGATTAATCACATTCAAGTATTCAAAACCCCTTTTTAACAGCCCCTATGTTACCTCAGTGACCTCCTCCCTACCCTGAAACTTTTGTCAGTTATTAAATAAAAAGCACGACAAATCCTCAGGCTATGACCATTTACTTTGATGTGCAAACTGCCATGATACTAGTCAGGGTTTTCCTGCTGCGAAAACCAGCAGGCAGGAGGGGAAAAAACAGTTATCCTGAAGACTCAACAGCAGGAATAGGAACATTGGGACATGCCTTATACTGAGTCTGATAATTGATCCATCTAGCTCTGGAATGTCCTAAGACTGGAATCTGGGTGGTGCACAGACATAATTCCACTGCCTATAACTTAAGCTTGAACCTTCAGATTCCCACCAAGAGCATAGCTATGGTCCATTAAGTATTGTCTGAGGAATTGGTCTGCTTTTGAAGACTGACTTGCTCATGAGTTTCCTTTTACTCATGCAAAGTCTTTATTCACCAGGCGTGCATTTCTGCATCTGGTAGCCAACCAAGCCTGCAACTTTAGGCTCCTGTGGTCCGGAGAACTAGGTGAATGCCTGATGTTTGTCTCAGATTCTGAGAGGAGGTTATCCACATATTAGGAGGAAACGTGTACTGCTATCTCCATCAATGACACAGGATCCAATTGATGTGGCTTAATGTTCCTTGACATGGCCCATCTCCCTATAACATTGTGCTTGGGGAGCTTAAAATTATCTCTGAAGAGGATCACTCCAGTGAAAGCAAGATAGTAACTACCCCCAAGGAGCCTCTCCTAAATAGAGTTCATATATCTTGTATTAAAATGAGGTTAGTGATTTTGGTTATCTTCCACTACCCTAACATCTTGGTCTGAAAATTGTCCATAGAACATCCCGTTCTTCCTGTAACTGCCCTTTTTGCTAACCATCTTCTAGGTTCTCCCCCACCCTTTCCATTCTCTCCCCATTCCGACTTGTTCATAACCAAGCTCCGCCCACATTCCAAAGGGAAATCTCCTGACGGTTGCTATAGACAGAATCCTTCTCCTCTATCTAACATGCAGCCTTCTTCCTATCTTGCCTTGCACCCACAAGGAGCTTCCCTATTGAGAAAGACAAGCAAGAGTGGAGTGGTCTAGTGAATTATTTCACTGATCAAGGAAAATGACTAGCAATCTTGCCTGGCTACTGGTGCTGATCTCATGGAACGTGTTATGTGAGAATGCAGGTCAGAAACCACCACAGGGTTTTAGATATGCTTCTTATGAAGTGATCATCCCAAGGAAACTGACTCCCCGATATGGAGAACAGGAAACTCATGATGTCACATACCTGCTGCAGATTGAGGGGAAGGGTCATGTGGTGACACTCAGGAAAAAGAAGAGCGTTGTCCCTAAACACTTCACTGTCATCACATACAGTAAGGATGGAGAGCTCCAGGTGGACTATCCTTTCATCAAAGATGACTGCTTCTACCATGGCTTTGTACAAGACAAGCCTTCCTCTAGGGTCACGCTCAGCACTTGCTCGGGGGGCCTCAGAGGTCTGCTTCACTTAGAAAATTACACCTTTGAAATTGAACCTGTTCAGGCACCTGGTACTTTTCAACATGTGCTGTACAGATTGGAGGGAATCGAAGGTGCTGTTCGCATGAGGTGTGGGTTAACAAAGGAAAAAGAAAGGCGCCAAGAGGCCATGTTCCAAAACAAAAGGAAAGTATTGACTGAAAGTGCTGCTAGAGGAGCCTGGTTGCCACACACCAGGTACCTAGAGGTTGCAATCGTGATAGAACATGAACGATATGTCAGGTTTGACAGAAATGAAAGTCGTGTTACTAGGCAAGTTATGGATATCATCCATACTGCAAACTCACTGTATGAGCCACTGTCTCTTGAGCTGTCTATAGCTGGCTTGGAAATATGGACAGAAAAAAACCTCATAGAAATTGTTAACAGCATAGATGACACTCTTAGTAGTTTCACTCACTTTTTAAAAAGTTCACTAAGTAAACGTATACAACTTGATGCTGCTCACTTATTTATATATAAGAGGTTTGGAAGTACACTTGGATTAGCGTACACAGGATCAGTTTGTAACCCCCATTGGGCATCTGGTGTTGAATCATATGTGACTCCCAGTTTGTTCCTTATTTCTCACACATTTTCCCATGAATTAGGACACAATCTTGGAATGGACCATGATGAAACATACTGTACTTGTAATCGAAGTTCTTGCGTAATGGCTGCATATCAAACAATCTCTGATAAGTTTAGCAACTGTAGTTATAAAGAATATTTCAACAGAAGAAACAAGCAGTGTTTGCTAATTCCACCAGACTCCACTAAAATATATAAATTTGCATACTGTGGAAATGAAGTAGTGGAAGATGGAGAGCAATGTGATTGTGGTTCACCTGATCAATGCAAGTTGGATCCATGTTGCCAGTCTAATTGCATGTTGAGTCCAGAAGCCACTTGTGCTTTTGGAGAGTGCTGTGTTGAGTGTCAGTATCTTCCAGTTCATAAGGTTTGCAGAGAACAGGTCAGCAGCTGTGATCTCCCCGAGTACTGCAACGGGACTTCAGAATGGTGTCCTGAAGATGTTTATGTACAAGATGGTGCCCCGTGTAGTGATGGGGCATATTGCTATCATGGGAATTGCACAACTCACACTAGGCAGTGCAGAATGATCTTTGGCAACAAAGCAACCAGTGCATCAAAGGATTGCTTCAGTGAAATGAATGCTCGAGGTGATCGCTTTGGCAACTGTGGGCTTAGACATGACACTTATAAGAAATGTGATACTCAGAACATCTTCTGCGGCCGAATCCAGTGTGAAAATGTTGATACAGTACCTTCTTTGGAGGAACACAGCACCATAATTAATACGCCTCTTGGCAATAGGCATTGCTGGAGTACAGATTACCATGCTGGAATAGACATACCTGATATTGGAGCAGTGAGAGATGGGACTCCTTGTGGCACAGAAATGATGTGTATTAATAGGGAGTGCAAGAATGTGTCTCTCTTGAAATATGATTGCAATGTCACAAAGTGTCATAATCGAGGAATATGCAACACCTACAAACATTGTCACTGTGATGATGGCTGGGCCCCTCCAGATTGTCTAAACCAAGGTAATGGTGGCAGCATTGACAGTGGACCTCCTCCACCAGGGAACACTTCAAAACGTAACGTCAACATGACAGGAATTATAGCAGCAATTGTATTTCTTGTTTCTACTATTTTTGCTGTTTTGGTGCTGGGTATTTATTTCAGGAAGCGTCTGAGAGTGTGGTTTGTATAAAAACCAGAAAAAACATATGAAGAAGGTGTAAAAGAGGAAGAAAATCCTGTCCCAACTGAATCAGAGAATTGAACAATACACTGAATGTGTCAAATAGATGTGCAGGAAATAATGGACAGTATTATGCAGTGATACATTTAAGTTTCTAAAGTTTTTAAAGCCCTTCTTCATTTGTCTACTAGGCACAATAGGACAGAACTCTGTAATGTGTTGATGTTGTCTGCAGTCTCTAACTCTCAAAAGTATCTCCCTTAAGCCTACTGGGGAAAAGAATGTGGAGGAATGCTAAATACTTTCAGCAAAAGCCAGGCTCTGAATAATATCCCATTCTCACAGAAACCAACACAACCACTGATGTCATTTGAGTAACTGAGGTGATATCCTAAAATATGCCTGTTGTAGAGCAGTAAAAAGGCTACAAAACACTTTAACAGCTGAGCATCACAACGTTACGTAATCCTAGTGATTCCATGTCTTCATATCAAAGCAACTGAAGAATGCAGAGAACCGTGGAAACAAAATGTTAAAATGACAAAATGTTGATTTGTTTATCTAATTTATTCTTCATACTTTAAAGAAGGTAATCCAAAGTGATTTATAATATAAAAACAAACCCATACTGTACATTGAAACCAGCAGAAAATAAAATAAAAACCAAAGATAAATGTAAAATAAAACCCCATTTCTAAAAGGCGGGATTAAAACATTCCAACCACTGGAGACCACAGATAACTAAAAACAAAGGTCTAGCAAAAGAGGGGGGAGTTTTTGCTTAGTGCCTAAAGCTATTTCTTCATGATGCCAGGTGAGCCTCCTCAGGGGGAGCATTCCATAAGTAGGGAGCCACCACTGAAAAGCCCCCTTCTTGTGTTGCCACCCCTCAGAACTCCTGAGGAGGAGGCACAAGAAGAAAGGCCTCAGATTATTATTGTAGGGTCTATGGTGGTTTATACGGGGAGAGGTGTTTCTTCAGGTATTTGGGTACTGAGCCACAATAGGCTTTGTAGGTCAAAACCAGCACTTTGAATTGGGCCCAGAAACTGATTGGCAACCAGTGTGGTTGGGCCAGGATTGGTGTTATGTGCTCAGACTGTCTTGCCTCCGTGAGCAACCTGGCTACTGAATTCTGTACCAACTTCTGAATTGCCTTCAAAGACAGCCCCATGTATAACACATTGAGTAATCTAACCCAGAGGTCATCAGAGTATGGCTGGCCACCAGCCAAAGCAGATGGAAGGCACTTCATGCTACCAAGGCCACTTGAGCCTCAAGTGACAGCAAAGCGAAGTTTCCAGAAGTATCCCCAAGCTATGTAACTACTTCAGAGGGAGTGTAATCTCATCAAGAGCAGGCCATTTCCCATCCATCCAGTCTAGGGAACCATTCACTTCAATTTAATCTGAACTGAGCTTCAGTTTATTGGCTCCCATCCAGTCTATTACTGAGTCAAGACATCAGTCATGCACATCCACTGCTACACTTGTAGATGTTAAGAAATCCAGATGTGCCATCAACATATTGCTGTCAACGTACTGCAAGACTCTGGATGACTCCACCCAGCAGTTTCCTGTAGATTAACATCCTGTAGATTAACATGTTTAACAGCATGGGGGCCATGCTTGATCCCTAAGGAGCTCTGCATTGAAGACTTTGTGACTCTGAAAAGCACACCCCAAGCATCATCCTGTGGAAATGACTATCCAAGTAGGACCAGAACCACCGCAAAGCAGTGCTGCCCACCCTCACACTGGGACAACTGCTCCAGAAGGATACCATGGTGAATGGTATTGAAAGCCGCTGAGAGATCAATAGGATTAACAGGGAATTAACACATTCTCCCATCCCTCTCCTGACTGAGGTCATCATACAGCACAACAAAAGCAGTTTCCATGGCCAAACAGACTTAAACCTTGATTAAAATGGATGCAGAAAATTGGTTTCATCCAAGAGAGCCTGGCTCTGGCTCACAACCAGTCGCTCAAAATATACAAGTAAGCGTTTATTTCTTTGTTTTAAAAGACAAAAAGCAGTGATTAAAAACACTGAAAGTACAAATGCTAACATTTTTTATCAAAATAGGTGTAAAATGGAGGAGAAGTCCTAATGTTATGAATAATTTCTTCTGAATAAATCCTAAAGGGAGATTACTGAACGTTGCTATGGACAAAAGAGGGATGCTTTAATCCTTAAGTTCCAAAGTTCTGCTGATAGCAGACTGATCTTATTATATAGGGACCAATTTCAGTGTTGCACATAGAGGTGACTGGATCTCATCTCTCTCCCTCTCCCTCTCCCCCCTCTCTCTCTCTCTCACACACACACACATACACACACACACACACACACACGGCGTTGCAAACATTGGCCACAGATACTGCAGCTGAGGGAGGAAGGAGCTTCAATGCTCTATTCCACAGCATCCCAGCTCTTCCCTTTTCAGTACAGTTGAAGGTGAAGCAGCCTGCAGAGGAAAAAGGGGAAGGTGGAAGCAGTATTATGCCCTTGTTAGACCTTCCTCTTTCCAGACTAGAAATTGGAATGTGGGGCTGAGCTTCTCTTTTACTCTCCAAAATTTCATAGGTGAAGTAGGCACACTTATTTGAAACAATAGGAAACTAAAGCCCAGGGAATGAGGCTGCTAGTCACCGAGACAGCTAATCTTACACAGTGGCATCTGGCTTTTTGCTTATAGTCTGAGGTCTGCACTTGCTCAGTGTCCATGCTGGCACTGTTTTGAGCCTGGTCCTCAGCTATCCATCTCTCCATTGTAAATGGAGAAAACCACCTTTCTTTGTTTCTACAGAGGTTCCTTACAAATAAAAGGCAAGTGTAGAAAACCAGGACGTACCTCTGTAAAAAAACATACACCCTCATTTAAGAGATAACATGTTTTTCTGCCAGAAAAAGTATTAGAAAAAGTTAGTCTGTTAAAGCCTATAAAACAATTTGTTCTACCAAGACACTGCTGATTTACTACAAATTCATATTATCCCAAAGATGTATTTAAATCAGTTTGTATGTGTGTGCTGTATAATGTTGTAACTCTTTGTGACATATTTCAATTACATATTACTTTTCAAAACTGCTTTGAGGTTTCCCCCCTACAATCAAGTGGTATATAAATTTTATTAAACAAACAAACAAACAAACAAACAAACATTTGCAGTTGCCGTCATCTTTTATAAAATCAAAATTACTTTTAAAAAGAACTAGATTAAGTCAGTAGTGCAGAGACTCTTAATCTCAGGGTTGTGGATTCGAGCCCATGCTGGGCAAAAGATTCTTGGATTGCAGGGGGCTGGAGGAGAAGACATTCATGGTCCCTTCAAACTCTACAATTCTATGATTTTATGATAAGAGAGTATTTTAATTTCTTTATAAAAATGTATTCTGCTTAAAATATTTAGAGTGTGACCCGTAACACTCAGTAAATCAAAGCAAAACTATTTGTCACAATAAAATTGATTTTGTCATGAAAATAAAAGAAAAAAATATTCTGGAAATCCATTATCATGTTTTAAATGCAATGGAATTTTTAAAAGCCATGTCAGATTTCTGGTGTTGAAAGTGCCTTAAAAGCTTCAAAAATAAGTCATGCCAGACCAATCTGATTTCTTTTTTTTTTTTTTGATGGAATTACAAACTTGGTGAATGAGGGAAATGCTGTGGATATAGTCTATCTTGATTCAGTAAGGCGGTACCTGTTTATCTACTTGCACTGGTATGCAAACAATACTGCCAATGGTAGTTCATGAGGAAGCTCAGGCTCGATGACCTGGGTCTGCACTAAGAGACAGCCAAGATGGTCTCTGGCCTCTTCAGCAGCCTCAGCTTTTGTAGCTGGACTCATAACTACAACATAACTAAAGTAGTCATAAGCAATAAAGAAAACATAAAAAATATACCACCAAACTGAACAATTTCCACATAAATCACAAGATCTATAATAAAGATACAAAAAACCAGCAACAGCAGCAACCACCACCCCTCCCAACAAAATCCGGCAAACGACACCCCAGCTCAAGGGTGTGTTCAGCAGTCTCAGCTTTTGTAGCTGAAGTCAGTCAGGGCCCCTCCCTCCTAGGTCAGGTGGGAAAAGGCTGCAAGGCAGAGAGCAGGTCTTCCAGGACTCGCAGCCAAGAGTCACCGCCAAGATGCCCTTGGGATGAGGGGCAGCTGCCCTCTTTGCCCTGCATGTGTGTTGGTGGGGCAAGGAGTGAGCCACCTCAAAATGAGTAGACACATTGGAGAATTTTGAATGTGAGCCTTTTCATCAAAAGGAGCATGTATGCAACAGCTACATTGTGACTCTGTGGACCAGATGGACAAGTAAAGACTTCCTATAATTTGTTTTAAAAACACCTTCATATAAAATTAATAGCATTTGATACAAACTACTCCAACCTGCAGGTGGAGCTGTGGGTAAAACCTCAGTGCCTAGGACTTGCCGATCGCATGGTCGGCAGTTTGAATCCCCACGGCGGGGTGAGCTCCCGTCTTTCGGTCCCAGCTCCTGCCCACCTAGCAGTTCGAAAGCTCTTAAGTGCAAGTAGATAAATAGGGACCGCTTTCTAGCGGGAAGGTAAACGGCATTTCCGTGTGCTGCGCTGGTGCTGGCTTGCCAGAGCAGCTTCGTCACGCTGGCCACGTGACCCGGAAGTGTCTCCGGGCAGCGCTGGCCCCCGGCCTCTTAAGTGAGATGGGCGCACAACCCTAGAGTCGGACACGACTGGCCCGTACGGGCAGGGGTACCTTTACCTTTACCTTTACTCCAACCTGCATCTTCACCTCACAGAGTGTTTGTTGTGGGGGAGGAAGGGAAAGGAGAATGTTAGCTGCTTTGAGACTCCTTCAGGTAGTGATAAAGCGGGATATTAAATCCAAACTCTTCTTCTTCTTAATATCATCTTGTAAATTTATGAGATCTATGGATTTAGGGCGTTATACAAATTTAATAAAATAATAATAATTAAAAACTCCCCCTTCGCCTTACCTGCTATTGCTGCATATTGCTGGCCAAATCTCTGTAGGGCAGGCAACTTGCTGTTCACATATCCTGCTTCCAGCCCTTCAGTGGCACAAGAAATACTATATCTATACCAAATTTGTTCATGACAAGGCCATGGGAACTCCTACTAGTGCATAGCTGTCAACGTTTCCCTTTTTCTAAGGGAAATTCCCTTATTCCAAATAGGATTCCTCACAAGAAAAGGGAAAAGTTGACAGCTATGCGACTAGGTATTCTTCCATTGCCCTGCACTCAGTTCCCATGATTACCTGACACTATGGTCCTCAGCCTATCAGCA